GTACCTATCCGGAAGAATATTAATACTCCTTTTATTTAACTTAAAAAGTCAAAGTACGGCCAGAGTGTGGGGCCAGTCAAACCTCCACCCTTGTCCAAGAATTAAGACTTCCAAGGATTGCTCAGGGTAAGGATCAAGTTATATTTAATGTACCGTAAATTCATGTTTAGCTCTGGTTAGCTGTCAGACCTTGACTTCAAACCGCTATCCAACATTGTTGTGGCACAAAAAACTCATCCCATTGCATCTGTTTACTCTCGCTTTTTTTTCCACAACACCACAATATCCAGGCGTTTGTTTTTACAGCTTAGGCCTTCTGTGTCATCGCTGCTGCAGCTCAGCAGGCTGACATTAGGGGATACAGGACTTTATTTGTTTTGTAACTTGTCCGGCTGGAAGGAACCATTGCAGCTATGGTTCCCCGCTGTGTACAACCGTTTTAACACTGTCATGGGTATTAAGGAGTCCTTCATGAGCATGATGAAGGACAAATGTAAAGTAAGATAAACAATGTGAAATACACACCTCCCTCATGCCCCACTTGTTGGTGGCAAGCTACTACCATTTCATCTCTAGCTCGTAAATAAGTCAGAATAGCAGTGATGAGGTTTATGGAGGTCATGTAGGAGGAGAGAAGTGTGCCACCAGTCAGTACTAGACAGCTAAGTTCAAGTTCCAACTTTATTGTGGTGTTCCTTCACGGACCCCAAGTAGGAGTTAAGTATCTTGCCCAAGGACACATTGACATGTTGATGCAGGGGCTGGGGATCGAATCACAACATTTTGAATGGCGAACGACCACTCTACCTCCTCAGCCGCAGCCATTTAATTAAAAACAGTTAAGTAATGGGCAGTTGTAGCTTGTAAATCAGTCTTATAATGTCTTTATCTCTCGAGGAGCATCGGATAAAATGACTCAAAATACATCTCTTGAGTAATAATAGGCAGTCAGTAATAACCATAACCCTGCAATTATTTAACATCATCGTTTGATTAGGGTAGTTTGAATGGTACGGGAGTTTACACAAATCCAATTAAACAGATCTTTAAATGCATAATTGAAAGTACTGGATATGATGTTTATGCGGGGTTACCCATTAAAAGGGACTTGAAAATGAACTACTTAGGCCACGTTTACACGGAGACGAAATGGGTTGTATCCGCTACAGTTCTCTATCGTATGGACGGTTCGTCCACACGAGGCCGACACGGAAACGCGGATAACGATAACGGCTCCCAAGGTGGGTAGATCTGCGGACGAAATGCTCTGGGGGGCCAAACGGCTCCGTGTGTACACCCTATACGATCATTTCCTGATAACGATTACGCCATAGCCCTGCCTCTCCCCACCTCTGCTGCTCACCCCCGCGTCACCCGCGCCATTGCGGATGTGTTTCGCCAACAACAACAATGGCGGATAACAGGGTTGCTTTCGTGATCCAGACGCGACTGACCATGATACAGATGTTAGTGTAAAATCTAAAGCTCCTCTACCACAACCATCAGCAACAAGTGGACATGGAGAACTACATGAACTACATGTTGCTAAATCCACAGCGGAGAATAAACAGAAGGGCAACCAGGCAACCATGGCAAGCATGCTCGGGAGGTCTTATTCGCTGCTTTTGGTGTATTTTGTGGCGGAAGTACAGCGCCACTTACAGGCCCTGCATATGTACTACAGCTGGTCGAGCGGTCTCGTGTGGACGACGGACACGTTTCTTGAGCCAATTTCGTGTGGACGGAAGACTTTTTTGATATTGACTAAGGTTCGTTTTCGTCTCCGTTTCGTCTCCGTGTAAACGTGGCCTTAGTAAGATGTTGTCACAGTTGTTCAAAACTACTTTACCTGAAGGTGGCGCTAAAAGGTTGGGCGAAACTTCATAGTTTACTATAGGCTGGAAGACATTACATAATACGATGTTACATGTATTATACAAATGTGTCCAATATTTCAAATATGATGCATAAAAATACAATTTAACAAAGCTAGAAAAAAAATAGTGAGGGCAATATGGACATTTAATACGTATTTTTTTATCAAACAATAACTCAAAACGCAATAGAATTTAGCAAGAACACATGTAGCTAAATAGCAAGTAAAGCTAGCCTTTATACATTATCAACAATGTTTGCAACCTTTACCCTAGAAATCAAATGGAAAGAAATTGAGCTTCAGGTCTGACATTGCCTTCAACTTCCTCAAGGATATACTTTGTTCCCATGTTCAGTTTTCCTTTACGTATGACATAGCTTAGTATGTGAACAGATTATGATGATGGATCATGTTGACAGGACAAAAAGATGCTGCTGTTATTGGAAAGGCCAATGTCAAATGTGGGAACAGAACACCTAAGAGAGGGGAGGACCAGGGCCGCCCCTGGCCAACATGAGGCCCCACGCAAAGTTATATGATCAGGCCCTCTGTTTCGCGAGCGTCGAGGGGGGCGCCACCGTGCCGCGCCACACAATTGTGCTGCATTGGTGCGCCACATTTTCGGCTCAGTTGAGGCTCCCTCCGCAAGATGAGGCCTGGGGAGGACTAAAGCTTGCATGTGAGCTTCCCCAAATTCCCCGCTAACTCAGAGGGCATATGTGCACTTACAGTATCTGCAACCACAATGTATTAGTATGCTTCTTATTTTTTTACTGGAAACGGATTGATCAATAATGAGTGGAATATTTATATCGAGCGACCAAAGGGTTTCTCTTTAATTATCACTTATACATCTTAACTCAATTTCCAGAAAACAGATTTTTTTTATTTAAAAATACTGTAGTGAAAGTCAGGTACGGTATGCAAATGTATAAAATAAAATCTACAGCACGTCTCTCTGGCTCCCTCTAGTGAAAGACACATGTTATGTCCTCTCCTTATCCTGCAGCCACTAAACAACCCATGACATAAGTATACATTAATAACATAAACACTTTGCCTTTTGTATATCATTTCAATAAACACTTGTTTAATTTCATTTTCATTCAGGTTTGTTTTTTAGTCTCAAGAAATTAACTTATGCATTGTTTTAACTAATTATAAATGCAATGTTTCTTTGAGTATCTCTTTTCATATTTGTGTTTTAATGTTTTTCTTTTCATGTTGGACACTTTGTCAGAAAGAACCAAGCCAAGCAAAGTTGGTTTAAGTATATCTTTCTCTTTTTTTAGATAGTGCAGTAGGGCATGGCTGGTTATCGCCGCTCAACACCTTTGAGAAGCGGCAAGTATCGAGTGCTGGTATCAAATCCTTGGTCAGATTCTTGTGAAGTCTCCCTACTATTTGCCTAGATATTTCCTGATCTAAATTAGGAAGCATTCTTAATTTAGGAGGGTCATTTAATAGGACAAAATATCTTATTTAACACAATGAATTGAGCAGAAGGGAATGGTTTGTTTAAGGGGTATAAGATATTATATTGGTATATACTTTATGTAAATATAACTCATATGTAAGGAAGAAAGAGCGGAGGATCACTTCTATAGTGGGACAGGCTATATGATGGTTGTTATACAACAGAGAGGTCTGGGGTCCAAGGGTTGCCATGAATCAGAAATGTTTATCATGTTTCAATGGTTGCCAAGGCTGTACTGTAAGCCTCCGTGACAGGTGGAGACAAGATATAATCTCTACTCCGTAAATCACACAGGCACACCTTTCTACACATGAAATGTTTCAAAAGAATAACCTCTGCTCCTTCTTGGCTAAGCACAGTTAAATCTATCCTTCAAGCCCATAAACACAAAATAAAAGTGTATTTCAATTTCTACCCTGGGCGAAAAATAAACACCTGCTCAATATCCTGTTTCAAATGCTTCAAATAGGGTACATTTGTTTAATCCTGAAGGTTTTCCATAAAAAATCAACGTCTCCAGATCATCGAGATGACACTGAGAACATTTAAAGTGATATTACTCAACTTACACAATTTTAACTAATTATTTCTACTTCAAAATGGCCAACTCACTTCTAGCAGGGGCCAAATAGGACAACAAGACCATGTTCTAATATTCATAATATTCCTGGTAATAAGGGGGGTTTAATAACATAACATTTTATGCGTTTATATTGCACAATAGGGGAGGATTTGGCTCAGTGCGTTAGTGCGCTGATCTTCGTATCAGGGGGGGACTGGTTTGAATACCGCTGCAGTCAGCATGTCATTGTGTCCCTGGGCAAGACATTTCACCCCATATTGCTCCTGTGGGGATTGCCCACGGTATTGAATGTATTTTGGATAAAAGTGTCTAACAAGTGACATGTAATGTAATAACACACAGTTATCACGTATCTTAGTTTCTCATATTAAAATATAAATGTAAAGTTTTTTGGGCATTTCCACAAGACAGGTTGGAAAAGTATTTAATTGAAAGCTAAGACTGTAAGGAAAAATATGATTTAGAAGGAAATATAACTAAATCATTAAATGAAAATATATAGATTTCGTGATTATGAATTACTTTGGTTTGTGGGACAATGTGTGAGACGGGTGGAGTCCTGCTGAGTTATTTTGGACTTGTATCTTATATGCATTTAAATTGCGAGTTTACACCCAAACATATTACACATCCTAGATCCTTTTTTTGTTTGCATCTCCACAAGACAGGGTGGGTTAGGCTTGGCATTAACATTTGGATTTGTAGTGAAATCTAATATTTGCAGGAAATATAATTGAAGCATTAATTGAAAAAAGATAAAGGTCAAATGTTTTAATTATTAAATATAAATAAAAAACGCTCAGTTTGATTTGTGGCTGACAATGGGTGGGGTCCTTCTCAGGGATTTCGGGCTCATGTTTTTACGCCCCTGCTTCCATCCCTTATCAGTCATCACAGGTATCAAAACATTTCAATTATATAATTTTCATTAATTCAAATAGTAGCACGCTTTCAGTTAAATGTGTTCAAACTTGAATCGGCAGGTAATTTATTTCTCTCTCCGGAATAATGGTATTTATTACCACTCAGTCACTTATCGCCCAGTCACGCGTCCCACCCACAGACTGCAGTGACTGTGTTTCGTATAAATGAGCAGCTCTCTTCCTCTGGGCTTTACCACTGTCCCTGCACATTGTGGATTCTCTGTTTTCAGGGGATTTTTTCGGATTTGTGTGAGTCTTTACCTTTCGCTTTCACTTCTTCACACGTTGAGTTCGTGCCAGCAGTCGTTGCGCAAGGACAATAAGGTAATATAAAGATGTGGCTAATAGACCTGAAACAGCGTCATGTTTATGGTGTTTTTAAAACTAGCTAGTTTGCTATGTAAAGATGCTCGTGTGCGGTCGTTTCCGGGTAAGTTAGCGCAGCTTTACACGCCCTAGTGGAGACTGCGTGACAGAAACATGTGGGGAAATAAAATACAATATATTATATCAACTTTGGCTATAAATGCTTCCATAAATGTTACTTGTCAGCTTAAAGGTTACCAAAATGTAATACATTATTCGTTGCTTAATATATTCTGCCATCATCACTCGCTAAAATGCTGAATTTCCTTTAAATTAACTAAGTGGTTGAACTATGGCGGTGAATGTATAATAAAAGTCTCTTGAATAAGCATCTCGATAACCACAATGCCAATACACTGCATGTGCAAATAGATAATGAAAAAGTATACAAGGTCCAACAAAATGTAGGTAAATAAAGAACAAGTAAAAGGTAAAAGCTACAGCTTTTACCTTTTACTTGTTCTACCTAGGCACAGTAGCGTGGCGTGGGGGAAAATGTAGGGGAAGCCCATTTTTTGGGTCGGGGGGTGGTCAATAACGTAACCAGATGAGTGATTACAGCGCCCGGTATCATTTTACACACATTGGTATCACACAGATGCAGGACTTGCACACGCCTGTTATCTAACCGACAGGTCCGCACGCACTCTCCAGCTGAAACTCTCTCCTTATTAATTTAAGCATTTTACTTATTAATGTATGCAGACAATCACACAATCTATGTGATTTTTGGATTTACCGTGCCTCTCAATTGCCCGTGACAGGTTGGCAAGGTCGATGAATCCTGAAGTTGCCCAAGGATTGTTCAGGGAGCACGAATCCTTGTCAAAAAGAAGACATGGCCAGCAAATTAGACGCTGAAGTTTAGCGCTTCCAGTTAGCCACTCCGTGCGGACATAATTGTCCTCATTGAACGTCCGATTCTCTCCCTTTTTCCTCTGCGTACACACAGCTCGAGTGCGGGCATTTGCCTGTCATCTGATTTAATTTTTAGTTGCTGCTGTAGCGGAAGTTTAGTAAAGTTATGTTTGATTAAGTACGCCAAATCTCCACCCTCCATAATGCTTCATTTGCTTGATAATTTCTAACGGCGGTGATGACAGTTACAGTATTAAAACTGATGTTGATGTGATTTGATTGGATGGCAGTGTCCAATCAAATCGCCAGCCGCCAGCCGCCTCTGAAGGGAAGCAAGAGGCGGCTAGCTTCCCTTGGCATGGCCCTGACCAATCACAGGTTGGCAGGGGCATCACGTGGGCCTCATCTGATTGGTCAATCCCTCCATTTTTTTTCACCAAGGGAAGCTAGATTCGGCTGGCCTCCTCTCGCAACAGTGAGTGCAATCTACTGTTTCACCATAACATCTAGAGGGGCGCTGTTTGTTTCACTCTTTGTAAAATACTCAATGAGAATGGGGGAGAGCCGGGCCGGCAGCAACACACAGCAAAGGAGAATTATCGAAACAAAACAAAGTGTTTGTATTTATTTATTTAAATTATAACTACAATCCGAAAAAACAGGGGAAGCCTGGCTTCCCTTGGCCTCCGGGAGAAAACGCCACTGCCTAGGCATACAGGCCTATGTATTAATTGTATTCTTTAATACTTCCAAGTTACTTACATGGTCATAAAGTGTAAAAAGAATAACATGTAATAGCATTTACATTTTATTTGACAATTGAAAATAGAAATAAACACAACACCTGGCAAAGTGAGATCCATTCAAATACTCCAAAATAATTGGAATTTGCTCCTACTGCCATCTTTAACGCTGTGTGTTTGTTTTGTTTCAAATAAACAAAATAAAATGTAGGTGTAATGTATTTTAAAATAAATAATTGTATATTGATTTTCTCATTACAGGAAACCCGTACATTTTCCGTCATGGCCGGCATCAGCAGCTCAAACACAGATTTCGCCTTGAAACTGTTCCGCACTCTGAGCGAAGCAAATCCAGCCGGGAACATCTTTGTCTCCCCGTTTAGCATCAGCTCCGCCCTGGCTATGGTTCACCTGGGGGCTGAAGGAGATACCGCTGCTCAGATGGCAAAGGTCAGCACACTGGCTCTAGTACATGCTTCCTCTCTTCCACTTGTTGCCCAGCTGAAATAATATATCTGCATTTTGAAACATTCATGCTGGTCTGTTTCAATAAAACATTTTGTGAGTTCAGAAGTTCAGGTGTGTATGTAGGCATAAATTAAAGGTGTGTCTACAGATACGCCACATCTAATGGCACCTGTACTTTGACCTCAGTATGCACCTGTGAAACAAAGAAGTGTACTGTTTGCTTGAAAGCAGATGGTTGTGAAAGCTTGAAGTAGTACATTGAGTTATTTCAATTCACGAAACCGCTTTGCTTTTAAAGGTAGTAAATCCTTCGAGCTTAGTTCTTCTTTTGATTAATGATTTATTTGTTGGAAATGTGTTAGCTTTAGCCTAAATGAATATTTTCATGTTCAGCAGGTTAATGATTAATAAAAACAAGCAACACAAAAGCATACCGAATATAGAAATACTCTATAAATTCAAAGGTATAAAGAGTTATGAATATTTCACCCATGTGTTGTTGTTTGTTTCCAAATGATTGAGCATTAATCTGCTGCTATATCAGCTTCTTCTTCTCTGGAAAGGCTTTCCTCCTGACTTTAAAGGCTGCATTCAAGAGCATTAGAGCATTAGTCAAATTGGATACTAAGTCAAGTCATGTTAGTTTAACAAATGAATCCCATTACAGGAGAGAATTAACCATCCGGACAATATGCTCCTTCCTCAAAAAATATGGGTTAAAAATACGATTTTTTTTCTGTTGCCGAAACCCTTATCCATGCCTTCATCTCATCACAAATCGATTACTGCAACAGCATCCAAACTCCTCTGTAAACTTAGATAAATGTGGAGCCTTTCCAGTTCACCCTGAGGTTGTTACATTCCTGACTCTTAGCAGGGAAGCAGAAACAGGAAATAGCCTTCCTAAAACTGTTGAAACAAAGTTGGAAGAACGCTGTTGTCTATCTAAATTATAATTGTATACACTTTCATTCCCTTATTTGGACCTTAGCCTTAAAAAAAAAAACCTTAACAACAAGTACACAAAAGAATGGAGGCCTGCATGTCTGCATACCTTAATTATAGAATGATATTGTTTAATTTGTAGAACAGGCACATAGCTTTAACAACAACAGTCACAACTAAATCTTATAAAGTCATAAAGAAAATGTCTTCCATAAGGCAGGCAAGCTAATATGCTTCATAGCAGCCATGTATAGCAACACGTAGGACTAAACATCTGGTCTTAAAAGCTGTTACAGTTACATAGCTCAAGAAAAGTGAACCGTTCTTACTTTTCACAATCTTTAACACGTTTTTGATCCCAGAATAAAGTCTGTTGTTCCATCCTCACACACAGGCCCTCTCATTCAGCTCTGGTAAAGACGTCCACGCAGATTTCCAGTCTCTAAATGCTGACATCAACTCGCCATCTGCATCATACATCCTGAAACTAGCCAACCGCCTGTACGGAGAAAATACTGCCAACTTCCTCCCGGTAAGCTTTCAGTTTTCACTCATCACAGAATATCTAGTTACTTCAACTAAATCAATAACTCTAAATGACACAACATATCTGCTCTTTTCAGAAATTCCTCGCAGCTACACAAAAGTACTACAAGGCAGATATGAAAGCTGTAGATTTTATCGGAGCTGCAGAGGCGTGCAGAGCGGAGATCAACGGCTGGGTCGAGCAGCAGACAGAAAGTGAGCAATCTTAATTGAACACAAAAATGATATATCTCTCTTGTAAAGCAATCATTTGATAGTGTCCTCTTTTCAGACAAGATTAAAGATCTTCTGAAGTCAGGAACAGTCACGCCTATGACAAGGTTGGCCCTGGTTAATGCCATCTACTTCAAGGGAAACTGGATGAACCGCTTTGATGAGGCAAACACCAAAGAGATGCCCTTTAAACTCAACCAGGTGAGGCTTGCAGATGTAGAGACATGTATTGTAGCGACAGCAGGAAACAAACTAAGTCGCTGAGAGGCTGAGGCCGGGCCTGTTTGCTGTTGTATGACACGCTAAAAAAGTACTTGCTGATATCCAAAGCTCTGTTTCATAGTATAGTAGTTTAATGAAAAAACTCTGTTCTCAGACATATACATTGTTATAATCGAAGCAATTGTAATCTTGCGCTCAACAAAAAAGTACAACGGCCCCGTGTCACCCTCTCTTCCACACACTCACACCTCACACAGGTGAACAGGATTATAATGAGTGCCACCCATACCCATGTGACCCAAGCCAACCAATCAACAGCGATCATGGCTCCTACATGTATATTTGAGCTTCAAACTAAATTCAGACTTTCTAAGGTGATCCGACCGCTTTTCTTTTCTTTTTTGTGCACTTCAGAATGAATCTAAGCCGGTCCAGATGATGTACCAGATGAAGAAGCTGCCCTACAACTTCATTGATGAGCACGGCCTGCAGATCCTGGAGCTGCCGTACGTGGATGAGGAGCTCAGCATGTTCATCCTGCTGCCTGAGGAGGCCGCTGATGGCTCTGACCCTCTGCTGAAGGTGATGAACCTAGAAGCAACTACCTGGCATAACCAGGGTTGCAAGAGGTGTATTAGAAGGTGTTCATAAATAATTAACCATTTGCACTCTTGCAAAACTAAAGAATCTATACCACTAATGATATGCGGGGGAATGACTCTGAAAGTACCCATTGTTTGCGTCTTGCAATAGAGATCTTGAGATATTGACCACCTGACTTAATACAAATATTTGTATTGTCTTTATATAGTAAGCATGCATGCTTCTGAGATAGCATTGCAGGTTAATGGTGCATTCAAAAGCTCCTCGGTTGGTCTTTTGTCCAGGGTTTGGAAGAGTTAGTGAGCTTTGCGTCATAATGTGGACACAACATAGATGGTAGTAGAACCTTTATTTATCCAGGAAAATCAATTAAGAACAAATTCTTATTTACAATGATAACCTGACAGGAGGCAAGGCTTCCTGAGGGGATGGGGTTTGGGAGGGAAAAAAATAAAAAGACAGACTCCGGGCACTACAGAACCCAGGAGACAACACAAACACATATATGTGTGTATGTTACAATGAAGATTTGTTGTATTTCTTTCTCGGATATGACTGAAATATGATCAGGAATTCTTACATCACACGAAAGCATGCACAAATGACTATAGACGTTTTTTAGGGCCATTTCTGTAACGTCCTACTGAACATACATAGTCTACCTACAAGTGGGATGCTATGTCTAGGCATATAATAGGTGTTTTTAATCTCTTTTAATTTAAACTAGTAATGCATTGTAGAGATGTTATAAGAGGTGGGCTGCACTATGGGTCAAATGTGTATGTAGTGTGACTGTGTCACTTATATGCAAAACTATCCAAACTCAAAAGGTTTGAAAGGTACGATTCATTAACAACTCAAGGGAACTGAACTTGTGAAAAATAGTTGTTCTGCACATCACTAACATAAATAAAAGCATTTGTTTTAGCTAAACAAAGACTTAATTATCGGTGTGTGTTTTTGTTCCAGCTGGAGAAGGAGCTCACACAGGAGAAGCTGGACGATTGGACCAAGAGGGAAAACATGGACGTCCACTCTGAAGTCCTCGTTCACCTGCCAAGGTTCAAGCTTGAGGAAGACTACGAGCTGAACGAGCCTCTTTCCAAACTGGGCATGACGGACGTGTTCTGCTCTGCGAAGGCTGATTTGTCTGGCATGAACGGTGAAGGAGGACTCTTCCTGTCCACGGTGGCCCACAAAGCCTTCGTGGAGGTGAACGAAGAGGGGACGGAGGCGGCTGCAGCCACAGCGGGAATGGTATCATTCTGTATGTTGAGGGAGGAACACTTCACAGCAGACCACCCCTTCCTCTTTTTCATCAGGCACAATAAGACCAAGTCCATCCTCTTCCTTGGCAGGCTCTCGTCTCCTCAGTAGACAGACACAGCCGATGATAAATGTTAAACCAACTAAAATAAAAAACATGCAAAATCTTTGAAAGTTTTTTTTTTCTGTGATGTTTTTCCAAATGAAGGACTGACTTTTTGTATCTGGTTTTGCACTGAAATTAGATATGTAGCTATCTGATTATTGTGCACGTCTGTATATTTCAAGATTTGTATTATTTTTGGCCAAAAGAATGAAAACATAATTTTTCTGGATTGGTTAAAAAGGATGAAGCATAATTAATAAACATCAATGATTAGAAGTCCAGTACATTATACTGGTTTGATTATACATCTACAAGACAGCACATCTTTTACAAAAATGTGATAAATGCTATTGCATAACTCCTATTTTTAAAAAAAATACTTTTGAAAAATGAAAATCAAACACCAAACTGAAGCTGAAACTGTCCACTGGCTGTGATAACTAATAATCAGTCTCTGCTTATAATGTGTTTCTAAGACTCATTTTGACAGAAAATGTGAAGCAATTATTGCTTCATCAACCTGGTCGGAAGCTCATCTAAAATATTTACTTTGACCAAATTTAAAACAAAATCATAAATTATTCAGAAACCAGTTCTAGTCATTTAAATGATGAGTGTTCTACTTTAGAAGACATAGAATACAGTAGATTTGCTCTTGCATATGAGGTAGCATCCTACCTCATATGCAAGAGCAAATCTACTGTATTCTATATCTAGAAATGACAAAGATCAAATTAACGTGCAGTTGTTTTTGGAATATTCTGTAATTAACTTTTATTTTGACATGTAAAAAAAGCGTATTTATACATGTCAAAATAAAAGTTAATCATAGGCTATAAACATTCCGTGAGAAACACAATAAATGAATGAAACGTAATAACGTGTTGAATGTTTCTTGATTTTGTCACATTTGCAATAATTCAAAGTGAGAGAGAGATTTACAATGAATTTATTTGTGGCAGGAAAACGACCCAGCACCTCAATGAAACTTTATTTTGAAGTTCTGACCGGAAGCCGAGTTCTCCATCTGCCACTCTTTACCATCAATGCTCTTTACACCGACTCCATCAGTCCGTGTAGTTTAAATTACAGCTAACAGGTAACAAAACTATTACTTTACATGTCTGTTTGGATCTGACTTGGTGTAGGAGAACGAAGATGAATACCTGTTACTTGTGATAGAGTTGCCACATTCAGGTTTAGTTTTTATTTTGCTACATTTTCACAACACAGGATTAAATATGACTGCGGTTACATGCTAGCATAGCTAACTTCAACTCTGGCTAATAACGTTAGCTTGTCTGTCTTTGCACAGCATAGTTCTGTTCAGACTGGGTTTACTGTTTTGAGAAGCAGGTAACAACAAATCAAGCTTGTATTGGGATGCACTGAAATAGATCTAAGCGAATAACTAATATAGCTACAGAAAGTTAGATATTCATTCATTTAGTTATCAGAATCAGAAACGGGTTTATTGCCAGGTAGGTTCACACATAGGAGGAATTTGTTAGACATTGTATTTGTCTTGCATTAGTATGCTGACCAAGACTCTTAACTTGTTAAATGCTCTTTGTAAGTAAGAACATGTATTTGGACTTGTAAAACACATATTGACACGTCCTGCTGAATGATGTGGCATTCACCTGCAACACGCCCACCATAAGAAGCTTATTAACTGTTCTTGGGTGTGTCTCATATGCAGAGACTCATACCTTGTTTGTTTGTATAATGCTTTAGGTTTTCATGTGCCTTGCTTTTTCCAGATGAACTGTCAGAGTGATCACTCCGCTCCTCTGAGGGTGTTGGTGACAGGAGGGTCTGGCTTGGTGGGCAGGGCCATACAGCATGTGGTCAGAGAGGAGGGGGGAGCCAAGGAGGGGGAAGAATGGATATTCCTCTCCTCCAAGGATGTCAACCTGATGTAAGGCATACTTCCCCTAGCCTGAAACATGTGTCTTGTAACAAAAAAACACAATATGTCTGTGCACTTTTCTCATTCTGAATTGTTGTGGCCTCACTCTTTAGGAACATGGAGGAGACACGGACGGTGTTTGAAAAACATCGGCCAACACACGTCATTCACCTGGCTGCTATGGTTGGGGGTCTTTTCAAGAACATGAAATACAACCTGGACTTTTGGGTATGAAGAAGTGGTGCAATCACTGCTAAAGAAGTAACACAGATGGTTGAAACGGTTGTTTGAAATGTGTTGAAAGTAGAATTTGTTGTATTGTAGATTGTTGTTTTCTAACATTTCTTTACAGATAGGTTTTTGATGTCACTGATATATGTTGTGCCTTTCAGAGAAACAATATCTACATCAATGATAACGTGCTGCAGGCGGCACATGAAGTCGGCGTGGTCAAAGTTGTTTCCTGTCTGTCCACCTGCATCTTTCCTGATAAGACCACCTACCCTATCGATGAAACCATGGTGATAAGCCCCTATTTGTGTACTGTTAACTAGCATGTATCAGCAAGTATGGACAATGGCGACTTTTAACTTTAATTTACTTCTCTGCACAAGATCCACAACGGTCCACCTCATGAGTCGAACTTCGGCTATGCTTATGCAAAGAGGATGATTGATGTTCATAACAGGTGGGAACTTGTAGATTTTGTACTATTTAGTAAATTACCACTATCGCATGAATAAGAGTTGTTTGTTAAACTGTGTGTATGTTTCACAGGGCATATTTCCATCAGTATGGGCGTTGCTTTACAGCTGTCATTCCCACGAATGTGTTTGGTCCCCATGACAACTTCAGCATTGAGGACGGCCATGTGCTGCCAGGCCTCATACACAAAGCTTACATTGCTCAAAGTAAGTTACATAGTGTAACGTTTCCCTGTTGATATAACAACTATTTCTGACAACACCAAATATTTTGCTGCCCTTTGTCTTATTTAAAGGGGCCCTATTATGCTCATTTCAGATTCATAATTGTATAACATGTTTTGTTTTAGAAAATGGATTGTGTTGTTGCAATATATTTATTATCTGACTATGAAGCTGATACTACGGGTTTAGTGGGGATACATGGAACTATATAAATCCTTTTCTCAATTGTCCGATGATCAGAGGAGGGGAAGCCCCTGGTGGTCTGGGGCTCCGGATCCCCAAGAAGACAGTTCATCTACTCTTTAGACCTGGCTCGTCTCTTCCTGTGGGTCCTGAGGGAGTATCCAGAGGTCGATCCAGTCATTCTCTCTGGTGAGTTCTCATTCAAAGCATACAAGTAGTTAAGGCAGAATGAAATCCTGATGAATGCCTGTGTCCTGTGCACTGGTTCCAGTTGGAGAGGAAGAAGAAGTGTCCATCAAAGAGGCAGCAGAAGCAGTTGTACAAGCACTGGACTTTAAAGGAGAAGTTGTGGTATCCTTTTAATTATGCCAAGTTAACCAATGTTTATATAGTCTGCACGCCAGATCAAAGTCAGCTTTATTTTCAAAATTACTACATGTGTTATATATACATCCAGAAATCTCGAGATACCGTTTCCTGCAGTCCCACAGTGTGACATATATATATATATACATAAAACGGGCCTAGATAAACGGGGTATACCATTTTTAAAATGTTAGATGTGCAGCAGTTTCAGTTTTTATCAAGCAAGGTTGTTTGGATTAATCTGTAAACCTTCCTCTTGGTTCAGACTTATGTTGGTGGGGACACTACAGGTACAAATTGCCAATATTAAAGGTGGGGTAGGTCATTTTGGAGAAACCAGCTCGAGTGCGCTAGAACCAATGAGGGCACGAGATACGTTTGTGCACAGATGGAAGGCTGACAGGCAGGTAGGCCATCCAGTTATTTTAGCCGGGCCGGCTCAAATGAATGGTCGTGCTTTTTACAGTACTACAGCTTCCACAGATGACATTTTGTTTTGGATTTGTTGTCAAAGCACTTAAGATATTAATTGCTATCGGAATGTTAAGAGCATTCCATGGAGTATAACAAAAAGTGTATCTCGAGCCGGTTTCTCAATCTTACCTACCCCACCTTTAAGCATTGTTGCCCATCAAAGTAAACCATACAATTCACAATGCAATCTAACAAAGGTCATCCCATCTCAGTCAATTATCCATCCATGTATGTATTCTTAAACACTTTTACTTTTAAATTACTATGAGAAAAATAAAAGCTGCAAACTTCTTCACTGAGAAATATATTCTCGTTGCAGTCAGTTAAAGGTTCTCTTCAAATTCATTTTAAAATAAAATACTGTAATATTAGCTGTTCAACTATCATGTAATTTACAGACTTGTGTAATTATAACCATTTACTATTGCTTAAAATATGTCTCATCATCAGTTCTGTATACTTACCTTAATCTTTGACCTTTAGTTTGATACCAGTAAAGCAGACGGCCAATTCAAAAAGACAGCCAGCAATGCTAAGATGCACCGATACCTGCCAGAGTTCACCTTCACACCATTCACACAAGGTGGGACTGACCGTTGGAGTGGCTGTTTGGATGCCATCGATGCAGCATTTTTACATGAAGCACATTTTGATTACATCTGTTCCCTGTTTTCATTCTTCCTGCTCTCACTTACAGCTTTAAAAGAAACTTGTGATTGGTTTGTTGCCAACTATGACTCAGCGCGGAAGTGAAAACACCAACAAGTTTGTGCCCCCTCTGTTGGAAGATGTGGAGGAGAACAAAGGGGTACATGTGGGAGATGTTACAGAATGAATCCGTCAGTTTGAGTCTGTTACTCAGAGCTGGAATGAATATCTCACTTTGAAATCAAGTCTGCAACACCATACTGTGTAACTGTATGTTGATTTGTTTCACTATGCTGGTGTTAATCATTAAAATGTTTAATTGACTGCATTAATCTTGATATCCAGGTGATGGTACAGTTTAATAGGATATTATCTGTCTATTATACATTTATTTTTCAACAATTTCGCCACTGAATTACCTTCATTTTTGAAGGTTTTACAAGCTGTGATTTACTTTAAATTAAGAGGAATAGAGTTACGGATTGGCCATATAGCTGGTGGCTTGGATGTTTTTTGGACGTGTTAGCAGAATAAATGTTATACCCAGTGCTGGAATTGGGCCGGTACTCACCGGTACGCAGTACCGGCACTTCTGGTTCTGACCCATGGAGTACCGGCACTTCTTGCTCAGTACCGGCATGCTGGCGGTACTCCGGTACTCATGCACCGTGCCAGTACTCAACACTCTCCCGCCGTTCTTATTATACATCTGTGACCTGCCCCACCGGGGAGGGGGGGGCTGCGATAATAAAAGGGGGTTAGGATACTTAACGCTAACCTGGGTTCCCCAATACGAGCCCTTAGGACAAGTCACGCAGATAAGAATAAAAGGATGGGCAGGGACGCGGCCTCAAGTTCAAATGTTTACAAACGTTTATTATATAAATAATCAAGTAAAAGTTCAGTAGTACAAAATGCAGATTAAAACTTATTCAGCTTTCTCAGTCGACACACATAAGTCCCACGATTGAAGGCTGGCTCTGACAAGGAGAGAATAACTATAATAATTACAATATCACACATAATGATAGTTAAAAAGTGATTCTTCTGGCCAACTGCTGAGGGTTTCCCCAAAACCACAATATCACCACATGTAGCTGTATTCAATCAAACACTCACTACAAATCAACCATATCTGCATGCAAAAAGTGCCCAGCAAACCACATGCTCCACTCCACAGTATGGCCAGGATCGTCACTGAAGAAGTATAAGCACAGAGACAGTATTAGACCTTGTAGGACAGAGTGGGTCGTTACAATGAGGGTGCTGTCGCTTTAAAGATTAAATCACTAGTTTGTACACAATACAACAAACTAGTCAATAAGCAAAACATAGAAGGTAGGCAAAACGGTAGCAAACTAATCCTAAAATAAATGGAGAAAGGAGATTAGAAATTGTATAAAGACTTATATGAATGTCCTTCAGTGTACATACAATTAATCTCCTACCTCTGATGCAAACGCATTCACTCAATTATCACCTCACTGGACACCTCTGCAACGGTGATTCTCTGCACAGTCTCTGCTGGGGCTGTCAAGAAGCCTGGCGTTTACAGGCCACATGTTAACAATTCAGTGGTAGGCCTACACTGAATGTTACAAATCCTAACAGCAGCTTCACATACCTCGTATAGGGGGAATACACGCCTATCAGCCAGACAACGATAACTGGAACAAGAACACTCGTAATAGTCACAGCTGATTTGGGTGAGGAGTGAGTGGGCATTTAAAGTGTAGCGGGAGATGCTGAACTGCATACAGCTGCGCGTTTTCCTTATATGGAAGGGCCAGCTGACTAAAGAAGGGGGGTGTGTCTTAAAGGGCCAGTGGCGGCCCAGCCACGTGAAGAAATGATCTGACAGCTAATCCTCAGAAAACAGTAGCGCCGGCTACACATCCATATATATATATATATACAGCCGCCCGGTACTCAGTAGATGCGTCATGAGGTGCCGAACGGACATTCTCATCGCTCTAACCGCTGGAGTTTCACAGCGGCTGTCAGCTGTTTACTCCTGTCATTCAAACAGAACGTGCTGGAGAGGGGGCGGGGCTTATCTTCTCCATGTAAATACTGTGGTGAAAACGACTATGTCAAAATTAACCTATTTGACCGTGATTTAATAGTAATACGTTTCAAAATAATAATAATAATAATGCCGAAGTAACAACATACTGAAAACTGTTAGTAAAACCATGTTTTAATGCTTTACAATTTACATACCTAGATGCACGTGTGTTGTGTTTATGCAGTGCAACTCCCACCCAGTGGGTGGCTATGTAGAGTGATAGAACAGAGCAGGCACGCCCCCGAGAGAAGGAAAGCAAGTCACGTCACAAATTAGCATTTCTAAAATGTTAGCGTGGATTAATAAAAGTGCAAAAAGACAGCGGTTGTCGCCGGAAGAAACTTCAAATACAGAGAATGCTGTGCCTGTGTTGGAAATTGTGTCTGATAGGGAGCTTTCTTTGGTTGATCCTCCTGCTCCAAGTTCTAGTGCATTAGCATTAGCACTAGCTCCGCCGCCTCCTCCAGAGCCTCTAACGTTAGCTGCTGCTGGCTCAACTGCCACCACCAACACCGGGCAAAGCGATGCACCTGACTGCTGGACAACGGACCAGGTGCAATATTTTTTGCAAGACCAATGCATGGCTCCTTCTTAAAGATAAGAAGCTAGGATGTCGGATATGCAGAGATGTCAAATCTTTGGGAATACACACTGGACAAGGACTGAAACTGTCAACTGAATGGGGTGAGTGTGCAGTGTCTCATTTCGGTGTTGACAAGGGCAAACAACAAGCTAGCCTGAGAAAAAAAAATCAAAGAACATAAAGAATCACAAGTCCATGTAAAAGCTGCTGACATCCTTACATCTGCTTCACGTGAAACTATTCAACATCAAGTGCAGTCTATGCATAAATCTGAATTAGACAACCACTATCAGAGTTTTTCGAACGGCATATAAAATTGGCAAACATAGCCGGCCATTCACAGACATGCCAATTGATTTGAATGTACAGAAACTGAATGGGCTGAACGTGGGCAGGGTTTTGCACTCCAATAAAACCTGTGGCGAAATCATCGACCACATAGCTCATGAGCTGAAGAAAAAAATGGCAAAAGACATTACAGAAAACCAAAGAAAACTCTGTGTTTTGGTCGATGAATCTACCACTATTAGTGGTAAAACGGTGCTTGTTGTGTGTCTACGCTCAGCATTAGCTGATGCTGAGCCCGAAACGTTTTTTTGGGAGCTGATCGAGTTGGATGGAACAACGACTGATGACATCACAAAGGCGTTAATGGAGTGTCTTGGAAGAGATTTTAACGAGGACTTTTTAGGTCAGTGTTTCGTTTCTTTTGCAAGTGATGGGGCTTCAGTCATGCTAGGGAAGATAACAGGCGTTGCTACCCAGTTGTGTAGTAAATTCCCAAGCCTGTTTGTGTGGCACTGCTCCAATCATCGTCTAGAGCTAGCAGTTGGGGATGTGGTCAAGGAGGTCTCAGGGATCAATCATTTCCAGATCTTTTTTGACAAACTCTATTCCTTGTTCCATGCCTCCCCCAAAAATCAGAGGCAGTTAGCGCAGTGTGCGCAAGCAGTCGGACAGCGTCTCCTGGTGATAGGGCGTGTTTTGTCCATCCGCTGGGTGGCTTCAAGTGAAAGGAGCGTCAGAGCAGTCTGGGAAAACTACAGAGTGCTTCATGATCACTTCACAAATGCTGCAAACGACACGAGCAGGGATTCCAGAGACAGAGCAAAGTACAAGGGCCTGGATGATGTGCTCACATCTGCAACGTTTGTCAGCAATCTGGGACTGATGTACGATGCGCTCACAGAGCTCAGCGACCTCTCTCGGCAACTCCAAAAAAGAGAGATGACACTGCCTACAGCAGATGGGCTCTTAACTCGAGAAATACGAGTTTTTGATTCCATGGTCACCATGCCTGGCCCACACATGACTACAGTTCATACAGCTCTAGCTGAGAAGTCCTTCAAGGGTGTTGCCCTGCGTGAGAATGGCAGGCTTGTACAGATTCATGCAGGTCAGTTTTTCCGCAGTATGGTAGAGAATCTGAGACACAGAATGACTTCCACAACCTCCTCTCATGTCAGCACAAGAGAAATCCCATTACATGGCCGGGAGGCCCGGGACAATCAGCTAATCCAGGACATGAAAGTTATCCATCCTGGAAGTTGGCCTGAAGAGGAGTTAGACGTACAGTATGGGGACGTAGAGGTGCTACGTTTGTGCGAAGTGCTGAAAGTGGACAGAAGAGAGACTGTTCAGGGCTTTCGCGAATACAAGGAAACCAGGGCATCCCGTACACCTGCTGCCATGGAGCCTCTACTGAAAGCAGTCCGAACCATCGCTGTCTCCACTAGTGAGTGTGAGCGGGCATTCAGCTGCATGAACGATATCCTTACTGCAAAAAGGAATGCTCTCTCTGTCAGCCGACTGTCCAGCCTGGTTTTCATTAAATGTAATGGACCATCACTAGGACAGTTCAATCCGGAACAGTATGTGAGGTCCTGGCTGGCAAAGGGAAGGAGAAGTGCTGATGAAAGAGCCTGTCCAGCTCCAGCCCCTGATACTGATGTCCCCAAGGCCTTCTGGAGCCTTTTCTAACAATGTGAAGTATATTGCAAAGCAGCTCACCCAGTGAGAAGACTTTTGGCATAATGTGCCGATTTGTACAGATCCTGGAGATAGAAGGACTTCAGACCAACCAGGGAGTTATCTGATCAGCTTGGTGTTCAATGTAACTCTTTACCATGGCTCAGACTTTGTTACTTGCAGTTACAGTTTCTCATTTTAGATTGTGCAAATTTTGCATTTGTTTTTACATGTTCTTTGTTCATGCTCTTTATCATTTTTCTGAGTTGGAAAGTTAGATTGCATCATAGTTTACTTTATACATATTTGTATTCTTCAGTGGTGAAGTATATTGCAAAGCAGCTCAGCCATGTGAGAAGACTTTTGGCACTTTTTCGTTTTTCGTTTTCTGAGTTGGAAAGTTAGATTGCATTCAAAATGTACAGAAATACTTAATTTTGTTAAAGCTTTTTATAAAAAATGCTTCTGACCAGAGCTTTGTTTCCTTGTCATTAATGTTGAACACCACCAGAGGGGCTCTCACCTGAAAGGTCTCTGCTTCATGTGTCTTCAGCAGAAGATCTAGACTTTGATTGCTATATTTTCAGTTAATATTGACCTTACTGAGCTTTAGCCATATCCGCTGCCTATCATAAAAAATGTTAAGTACAGTGAACCTTTCTAAAATAGACAGTAGTAAAGAGACAAACCCACCAGCATTATAGTAGCCAAATTCTTGTTTGTGGGCTGTATATATAAAATTGACTTGAAAAAGTTGCTGATTTTAGAGTACTGGCACCTTTTTCATTCCAATTCAAGCACTGGTTATACCTATAATATATCTCATGTGTCTTTCCTGAATCATTCTGTAGGTTGTGAATTCAGCTTTGATGCTACTACTGGTGTTTAAATACACTTACAGAAGGATTTATATGTAAAGAAATAATTTATTAAGTGAAAACTGAACCGCAGGCAGAACTTACAATGACATCACAATAACCGTAGAACAGTTAAAAATAAGGCAATAAAATACATTTAAAAAACTTTGTAGTCTTAAAAAGAAAAAGGCGTGCTCATTTAGCAACATAGGAGGTGTACCCCCCTCTGTGGACCCCGCAGTACTCCTGTTCCGGCACGGCTCTCTTCTTACAGGCCTTCCCTGTTTTTGTGACTCCATTGCACAGCTGACGGCCTGATAGAGAGCTGCCATGACACAAAACATCAGTTTACATTAAAAATCCAGATACAAATTTAGTTTTCATTTAAAAAGATCCCCTATTATACTGTTTTTCATCAATATAATATAGGTCTCAGATATATACAAAACATGTCTCTGAAGTGTTTGGCTGGAAATTCCAAACAGATCATGCATTGCAGCATCCCATAATCCCCTCTGTTTCAAAAGTGCTGATTCTCTGTCTGTTACTTTAGATGAAAATAAGGAGCCCCTCCCCACGCCCCTCTGAGAGATATTTGGTTACAAAGAACACAATGGTGCTCTAGGAGGAGATTCATGTGTTAAGGTGGGCCGGGGGGTTACCTTGGTTGCTGATTGGCTCATGGTTACACAAGCCAAAAAAAATCATTATGACATAAAGTGGCCAAAATCTGATCAGCTCATTTTCAGACAGGTTTTTATAGACATGGATCAGGACAAAAAGCGAGTGAATCTTTTTACACAGAGGGGACACGTGCATGTATAAAATACATGAAAACGTGCATTTTGCATGATAGGTCCCCTTTAAAAAAAAAGGCACTTTAGGTGTGATCGGAAAGACAAAAAACTGACCTGTTTGGTGACGGGGTCGGACTCGCACCTCGTGAGATGTTCCCTGAATCATTAAAACATCCCAAGCTCCTTGGGGGGTTATCAGCAAACAAAGCCTAAACAAAGTAAATGGATGAGGATTTATTTTAATTCATAAAAAGGTACTACATATGACACACTCTCAGTTTGCTCACCGCTGAAAAAAGTGGCTGTGGCCCGAGCCTGGGGGTGGAGTAATTTGGTGTCCCAATGATCGGAGTAAACCTGGACTCTGGCATCTTCCTCCTGGGAGGGGGGGACACTGCTGCTACCCCAAAGTTACCTGTATAAGTCAGAGCAAATGTGATAACTAAATCTAGCAGGTTGTCACTTCAGGGGAATTCATTGCAATACATTTTACAGTTAATCTACTGTGTGTATTTCAAACCTGATATGAAGCTTTCCTGATTCAACAGGTCGTCTTTTGCCATGAAACCATAAGATTCATTTCTGAGGATAAAAGAACAAGATGGACCACATCAAATAAATTACACAAATAAGTGCTGATCTCATCCATTTGTTGAATTGATTTTGTTTTACTGTAGCAAATGTTTATACGTTTTGAATCTGCCTAATATAACATCATTATTTTTCTGTTTATATAATTGTAAATTAATTATCTTGGTCAGCTGGACACGACATTTCGATTTTCTTTGAAAGCATATTGAGCATTTTAAACTATGTTTTGGACATTTAATAAACAAACCAGTATTTCAAATAAATGATACATATCCATAGTGATTTGCAGCCCAAGTGTGCAGTATCAAAGGAACTCTGCTGACTCACTTCTGTGGGGTGGAGGACGTTGGATATGAGTCGCAGGTTGGATCTGGTTTCAGGGGCTCTTCAATGGCAAGCGGGGTCGCTGGCTTTCCTCTAATCTGGAAGCACGCCTTGCTTAAAAACCAGTGACCTGCAGATATGAAACAACAACTATTTAGTGACAAATACATTAGGAATGGAGACCTTGTGAGCAGCTTTCAGTGTGTACCCAGGCAGAGGAGGAGCAGCAGCAGGCTGAGGCCGGTGAGATCCAGCGCCGGCTGCTGGTTCATCTCGCAGACTGCATTAAGAGGCACGGTGAGTAGCAGCATGGCTCGGGAGAAACCGGGACAATGCAGGAACGTCAGCAGGACAGCAGACAGGAGGAAGTAGCTCGCATGTGCGATACATGTCCACATGGCTGTCAGACTCAAACCTGTAACCATGAGGTAAATAAGATTAATCAATATTATTTTCACCATATTTAACACCTCATGCCAGAATTGGCCATCATCATTTCAAAAAGTCTTAAAGGTGGGGTAGGTAAGTTTGAGAAACCGGCTCGAGATATACTTTGTTATATTCCATGGAATGCTCTTAACATCCCGATAGCAATGAATATCTTAAGTGCTTCGACAAAAAAATCCATTAAAAATAATGTCATCTGTGGAAGTCGTAGTACTGTAAAAAGCACGACCAATCATTTTAGCCGGCCCGGCTAAACGGATTGGTTGGCCTACCTGCCTGTCAGCCTTCCATCTGTGCACAAACTTATCTTGTGCCCTCATTGGTCATGTGCGCGTTTTGTGTGTTGGAGGAGGGGCTCTGTAAGGAAGTGGCAGATTTTTCCCGGCTGTGTATTTTCAAATTCTAGCGTATAGAGCTGGTTTCTCCAAAATCTACCTCACCTTTAATTGATGTATTCAAAAAGCTTGTTTAATTTGACAGCACAAAACAAAGATATTTAGTTCATGCTCATTTATAAATTGACCTTGGATACTAGAATGAACCACTTGCCGTTTTCTGTTGATCAATTCATTATTTAAAGTGGACCTATCATGCTTAAGCTAGTTGGTAGCAAAATGCCTCCGTTCTCTACAGATGACTTCCAGAAACTTATACAGAAGATGGCTGTGTTGGAAATGAAAATGCAACGGTTGGAAGTTAACGTGGAATTGAATGGACTATGTCGTGGGAATGACACGACTTTACCAGTGTTGCAAAGTAATGGAGAAGGGTATGCTAACTCACAGCTAGTTAGCAGCTACAAGAATTCCAAGGAACAGGAGGGCTGTGTACCGGGTAATAAATCTACAAGTGATAGTCCTCCCTGGAACTCTCTGGGTGCAAAGCCTAAGAGTAAATCACTTCCATGGGATTTGGGAGGACGGATAACAGGCAGAGCCCAGAGCTCCGAAATCTGTGATGCGACCGGCTGGCCTGCATTGTTATCACCCAGGAAGAGCGCCTCTTCAACCCCTATTCATACTAGGAAACAGCAGTGGACAGCTGCTAAAGGGAGAATTACAAACAATCCTCCTAAACCACCAAGTGTGCCAATCCAGAACAGATACGCTCCACTGACCGAGAACCGGAGATCTGATGACCTGGATAACCTGTCCTCTTCACGCAGCAGGGTAAGGACCAATAGCTACTCTAAAAGTAAAGGCTAGAGGGAAAGCTAACGACTGGGCCTGAAACTCTGATTGTGGGTGACTCTGCTGTAAGAGATGTAAAAGGTCTGTGTAATAAGAACAACACCAAAGTACTCTGTTTTCCCCAAGGATGTGGTCTCTGACTTGGCTGAGAAGATCCTGCATATTGGGGCTGAACATCTGATTGTGAAGAATGTGGTACTGCACATTGGAACAAATGATGTTATGAAACAACAGTCAGAAGTGCTGAAAGAAGACTTTAAATGTTTGTTGGAAACTGCCAGCTCTCTAAATGCAGAGGTGTTCATCAGTGGCCCTCTACCGCCAGTCAGAAGAGGAGTGGAGAGATTCAGCAGATTGTTTACACTGAACACCTGGCTTTCAACGGCCTGTACTGACCATTCTGTTCATTTTATTGACAATTTTAACTTTTTCTGGGATCGCAGACATCTTTTCAAGGCAAATGGAGTTTGCCTGAACAAGTCAGGAGTGAAATTGTTTATCTCTAACATATTCAACTGCCTGCGTCATCAATCTGTTCCCTCTGCCAAGGACAAGCGGCAAGAGGAATCAAAACACGAGAAAGACACAACACATCACGCAGAAAACCCTGAAGAATTATCACTGCACCCGCCTGAGGAATGTTCTGATTATGGGAGACATATGAGACACATGGAGGAGTCTCCACTGCCCCCCCCCCCCTGTCAACGCCTTTGAGGATACTCCGTTCACCCTTTCACCCTCGCCCACCCTCCTGGAGATCGATGAACACACAAAGGAGATACAGAGGGTTGGCACCGATTCCTTCCTGGAGTTCAAAGACCAAACGAAGGCGATACGCAGGGCTGGCACCATGTCCTTTACCCCCGCTCCTCAACGACGCCCCACCAAAATCACCGCGGAGACGCGCACCATCTCCCCGTCCTCATCACCGCGCCTACGTCAACCACCTCCCCCCCCTGGCAGCATGTCCTCTACCCCCCGCACCATCTAGCCCGTCTCCATCACCGTGCCTACGTCGACCACCTCCCCTCCCTTCGAGGGGGCTTCTGCAGTCTCCGAAGCCTGATAAGGATGTGTGTACAAAACACAACAAACTCTTACTGATATGTGATGGGTCCAGGCTCAAGGGCGTATGGCACTCTCAACTCTTTCCAGGACATGTCGGGGCCCTGCCTGCCAGTAGCTTTGCCGATATCTGTGTTGATAGGTAATAGATTAAGAGCGGTGAATCATAGAAACAGGAAGCGCTCAAACGTTTGTGTGAGTGTATCTAATTTAGCAGTGATTCCATGTCAGCCACAGCTTGTTACAAAAAACATGACTGATAGTGTGTTTAACAAACTTAAACTAGCTTTATTAAATGTCAGGTCTTTGGCAGGAAAAACATTTTTAATCAATGATTTAATCACTGAGCACAATCTCGATTTTATGTTTTTAACAGAAACTTGGATTGAACAAAATAACAGTGCAGCTGTTCTTATCGAATCAACCCCTCCCAACTTTAGTTTTATGAGTCAGGAAAGAATGCATAAGAAAGGGGGTGGAGTTGCTATTCTGTTCAATGATTCCCTTCAATGGAGGAAGACATCGTATGGAAACTTTGATTCTTTTGAATATGTGGCCCTTCGGCTGAAATGCTCCTCTCGAGCTCTGTTCCTAAATATCTATAGACCACCCAAATACTGTGCAAGCTTTTTTGATGACTTTACTGAACTGCTGTCTATAGTGTGTATTGACTTTGACCGTCTAGTCATTGTTGGTGATTTTAACATCCATGTTGACAACCCCCAGGACAGAGGGGCTAAAGAACTGTTTTGTGTTCTTGATAGCTATGGACAGACTCAGCATGTGACGGAGCCCACGCACAATAAGGGGCACACTCTGGACTTAATTATCTCAAAGGGTCTGAATATCTCTAAGGTTGTGGTGACTGATGTTGCACTCTCTGACCATTCCTGTGTTTTCTTTGAGAGCTCTATTTCTGTTCACAAAAATGTTCAAAAAGAGGTAACCACAAAGCGATGTTTAACTGAAAATACTAGGGAAATGTTTACTCAGAATTTCTCTTCCACACTTGCCCCTGCCAACATCTCAGTAAATGAGCTAGTAGATCATTTTAATTCAAAAATTAAAAATGTTATAGATGCCATTGCTCCAACTAAGGTAAAGGAAGTGTCTGGCAAGAAAATATCTCCATGGAGAAAGGCCATGACCGTGAAAACAGAAAAAAGAGAATGTCGAAAAGCTGAACGCAGGTGGCGAAAAACAAATCTCCAGGTTCACTTTGAAATCTATAAAGAGAGACTTGGCCTTTATAATTTGGAATTGAAAAAAACGCACGACAATCGTTCTTCTCTGACATCATTACCAAAAACAAAAACAACGCACGTGCCTTGTTTGCTACCGTCGACAGACTAACTAACCCCCCAGTGTCAGTAGCCTCTGAATTTCTATCCACCAGGGCGTGCAATGATTTGCCTCCTTTTTCACTGACAAAATTAAGAAAATCAGACAAGCAGTCAGTTCCTCTGCATCAGGAACAGCAAATGTGTTGTCCCTATCTCCACTTAACATCAATTCAGACATCATGACACAATTCCATCAGATTAATGATAAAAACCTAGAGGACATTATTCAACTTCTGAAATCCTCCTCTTGCTGCCTTGATATTATTCCAACAGGATTTTTCAAAAGATGTTTTTCGTTGCATGGCCTCAGATCTACTTCATATAGTAAACAAATCTCTTCACTCAGGTATTTTTCCACAGGCCCTGAAAACTGCAGTCATTAAACCGCTCTTAAAAAAGAATAATCTAGATGCTTCAGTAATGAACAATTACAGGCCCATATCAAACCTCCCATTTCTAGGTAAAATCATTGAAAAAAGTTGTTTTTCAACAGTTGAGTAATTTCTTGCATTTAAATAACTGTTTTGATGTGTTCCAGTCAGGCTTTCGTCCAAACCACAGCACTGAGACTGCTCTTGTAAAGGTCTTTAATGACATCCACTTAAACACAGACAGTGGCAGAACTTCAGTGTTAGTATTATTAGATCTCAGTGCTGCGTTTGACACTGTTGACCACAGCATATTACTAGACCGACTGGAGAACTGGGTGGGACTTTCGGAAACAGTTCTGAATTGGTTTGAATCCTACTTAAAGGACAGAAACAACTTTGTTTCTATAGGTAAATACACATATGAGTTGACAAATATGACATGTGGGGTTCCTCAAGGCTCCATCTTGGGGCCTCTTCTCTTTAACATCTACATGCTACCACTGGCTCAGATAATGAAGAACAACAAAATAAGTTACCATAGCTATGCAGATGACACAACAAATTTACGTAACAATTTCACCAGGAGACTATGCTCCAATTCAAACACTGAGTAAGTGCATTGAACAAATCAATGACTGGATGTGTCAGAACTTTCTCCAATTAAACAAAGATAAAACTGAGGTAATGGTTTTTGGAGCCAAGGCAGAACGTATAAAAGTTAGCGCTGAGCTTCAGTGTGCAATGTTCAAAACAACAGATAAAGCCAGAAATCTAGGTGTAGTCATGGATTCTGACCTGAGTTTCAACAGTCACATTAAAACTGTTACTAAATCAGCCTACTATCACCTAAAGAATATATCTAGGATTAAAAGACTAATGTCACAGCAGGATTTGGAAAAACTTGTCCATGCTTTTATCTTCAGTAGACTCGACTACTGCAATGGTGTCTTCACAGGTCTCACTAAAAAATCTATTAGGAAGCTGCAGCTAATTCAGAAC